AACGTGGTGTTCGCATTCGAAGCCGCAATCACATTTGAACTCGTCGTCTTCCTCGTCTACCGTCCTATGTATTCGTCGACGTTCTCGAAGGTCAATGTCCCCGGTCCTGAATTTGACCTTAAGCTTTGTTCCTGCATCCATTGGTCCATGTAGGTAGTCCTTGAACCCTATTCCTTCCTTCAACATTCCGTACACTTCTAGACCCTCCTTATCCTTGGATACTTTCCTTAGATTCTGTTCTTCTCTCTCGGCACAAGCAATATATATCTTCTCCTTGAACCCCTGTAGAACCTCCGTTTCCAGCGTTTCATCTTCGTCGATGTCGAGCCCCTTCCATACGTCCTCTACAACCTTGACCCATTCCGCGGGTTGTCTACCCCTCTTTTCGTTTGCCCACTTCGCCTCTCATACAATTCTAGGCAACCTCTCCTCTCCCATCCCGCACATGCGATACTGCTATGTCAGCTTCCTCGCGTCTCTTCCCGACCGTAGGGATTGGATCCCCAATTCTGCCCTGACGGCTGCATTACTTGTGCGCCTGGAGCATCCTAGGATGGTTTTCGCTGCTTTCATCTGCGCCGCCTCGAGTTCTTTCACTACCTTCTTATTTACTTCCCATACTTCTCCGGCGTACTCTAGCGGCGGTACGATTACGCTCTTCAAAACCGTCAATTTGATGCGTGTATCGAGGTGCCGGTTTGCGAGTATTGGGTGCAGCTTCCCTGCTCGTGCTTTGCCCTTTTCCGCTACCTTGGACATGTGTGCATTCCACGAGCAGTCTTTTGCGATCTCTACTCCGAGGTATGTGTACTGGTCCACTACTGCAATCTCCTCGATCCCCCACTTCCATCTATGTTCTACTGGTTCCTCCTTGTTCTCGTTGCATGACCGCGCTTTCGTACACTCTGTCATCTTTTCATCACTTTCCCCTTGATCCCGTATTTGGACAGTTGTTTCCACAGCCCATTTCTCCATACGGTGTCGTATGCCTTTTTCACGTCCAGGAAGAAGCAGTACGTCGGCTTTCCCGCCCTCTTTCTACCTTGGATGATTCTCCCTACCGTGAATACGTGGTCTACGCACCCCCTCTTCTTTCGGAAACTTTCCTGGCCCTCACTAATGCCATGTTCCTTCTCCAATACTCCCACTATCCTATCGTTCAACAGCTTACAGACACTTTTCCTACTGTGTTCAACAGTGTGATCACCCTGTAGTTTCCTTGTTCAGTCTTGTCTCCTTTCTTAAACAAGTTCACAACTACTCCTTCCCTCCATCCACTTGGCGTGTACTCGTTTTTCCACACCCACTTGTATAGCAGTACCATCAGCTGGATCATCCCCTTCCCCCCAAACGTCATGAACTCGTTGACTATCCCATCCNTGTTCCTTCTCCAATACTCCCACTATCCTATCGTTCAACAGCTTACAGACACTTTTCCTACTGTGTTCAACAGTGTGATCACCCTGTAGTTTCCTTGTTCAGTCTTGTCTCCTTTCTTAAACAAGTTCACAACTACTCCTTCCCTCCATCCACTTGGCGTGTACTCGTTTTTCCACACCCACTTGTATAGCAGTACCATCAGCTGGATCATCCCCTTCCCCCCAAACGTCATGAACTCGTTGACTATCCCATCCGCTCCTGCTGCTTTGTGGCACTTCAGCTTGTTCACACACGCCTCAACCTCGTCCTCAGTGAACTCCTTTTCTAGTTCTACGTTCCCAACGTCTGCCTTCGATGTCTCTTCTTCTTTTTGGGCCCATGCGTCCACCTCCTTCTTAAACACTTGGTCAAAAGCTTCATTCTCCGAGGGCACTCCAAGTCTCTTGTAGTGTCCTGCTAGAACTTCCCTTTTTCCCTTCCCACTGCTGGCTAATCCACCGTTTACACCTCGCAAAGTTGCTACTCCTGTATCCCCCCCTTTCGCGGTCTTTTTTACCATTCCATCAATCCCTTCGCACATCTGCTTGACGTTCCCCTCCAGGCCTAGGTTGGCCTTCTGCACTACTTAGTCCCAAATGCACTTTTTCTTCTTTGTCACTAGTCCCTTCACCTGTTTTCTTTTGGCCCTGTACTTTTCCCAACTCTCCTCAGACGCCTCACTCAGGTACTGCTTGAAGACTTCTCTACGTTCCCCTATTTCTTCTTTCAGCTCGTCATCCCACCACTTAACCGATACCCCACATCGTACCACCTTCGTTCCCACTACTCTCTCTGCCGTTGCGTTCACGATGGACTCCCACCCTTCAATCACCCTGTCCCCTGCTGCCTGTACGTCTACCTGTCCGTCTTCGACGCTTCTCAGCAGTTTCCTGAAGGATTCTACACTACCAGCCAGCCCCTTCTGGAATTCATCCCGTGTCCCATCGTCTCCCAAACGCTCTACCTTCCACCGGAACACTTTCCTCTGTTTCTTACTCTTGATCTTTCTAGATCGGTCGATGTTTGCCCATATGAGGAAGTGGTCGGTCGAACCTATATCTATCGCACATACGTGCAGCTGTGGGATGTGCGTGCTCCCCCTATCTACCAGGATGTAGTCGAGGATCGAGTNATTTCATACTCTCTATCTTTCTAGATCGGTCGATGTTTGCCCATATGAGGAAGTGGTCGGTCGAACCAATATCTATCGCACATACGTGCAGCTGTGGGATGTGCGTGCTCCCCCTATCTACCAGGATGTAGTCGAGGATCGAGTATTCATTGCAAACTGCCCGTTGCCTGGTGAACTCCGGCTTATCGCATTCCCTCCTACCGTTCAACACCATCAGTTCGTTGCTTCCCAAGAATTCAAGCATCCTCACTCCGTTGTCATTCTTTGTCTTTTCCGTGCTGCCCGATCGCCTGGCCTCTACTGGAAGCTTTCTCTACTCTGGAGTTGAAATCGCCCACCGTGACAACTTCTCCCTTCCTACTGCACCTCTGGACATTTCCCTAATTTGTCCAAAGTTCTCCTGCGCCTTGCTTGCGACTTTCTTCGACGACGGTGGGACGTATACGTTCCCTAGAAACAAATCTTTCTCACCCCGCTCCCCAGGTATCTTAAGCCATAGGCTTTTCTCGAACTCCGTTTTCACTACTTCTTCCGCCACGTCAAGCAAGTGTTCCTTGACCAGGAATCCGACTCCCCCCTCCCCCCTTTTCTTCGGGTCTAAGCCCTTTCTTGCCTTCCCTACCCACCGGTATTTCCCTAGTTTGCTTACCACGTCCCCATCCTTCAATTCCCACGTTTTTTGGATCCCCACTACATCTAGATCGCGTTGTTCTACTTGGTCCACTATTTCCAACCGCTTGCGCTCACTCCTTGCGAACCCGCACACGTTCCACTACCCGACTCTCAGCTTGTGCTTTCCCTATTGGAGATTTCGCGCACTCTATCGTTCGCCTCCCGCTTCTTCTCGGACTTTTCCTGACTCGCTTGCTCGCCTCCCCCGCTCGGTCCTTTCTTCGCCTCCGTCGCCCTCGCCTCTTGTCTCCTTACCTTCTCTGTTTCTATCATGTTCGCGATGCAAACCCTCCATCCAAACTTCCTTACGTAGTTCGACAGCTTCTCGATATCAACCCCCAAGCACTCTTGGCTGTCTCCCTTGGTCAATTTCATCCGGAAGTGTTCATGTTCTCTGCCTACTTGTCCCCTTGCTAGGCAGTGCAGTCCCTCCCTGTCACAACACTCCTTGAACTCCACCCTCGTCATGTCCCTTGGAATCCCAAACAGCAGCAGCTCCAACTTGTCTCCCTTCCACAGTTTCTGCTTCCATCCTCCCAGCTTCTTCACCATCCTCATGATCTCTACGGCAACTGGACCGTGGCCACTTGTTTTTCGTGTTTTTTCAGGAAGGTATACGGAGTACTCGGCCTTCCCAATCCGAGTGTCCGGCGGGGGTTGTGGTTCCTCTCAGTTCCTTTGCCGGCTCACCGACCCTAAATAGCGCCGCCTCCCACATAGGCTCGTAGTCTAGATCCAAGTTCACACCTCCTGGCACAAGTACCCCTTGTGCCGGGCGGTCTGCTTAGTTAACACCCAGACGTCCCCCGACCACCCACTTTGTCATCTCCGAAGTCCCGCGGTACAGGCTACTTGCCTCCTAGGAGGTAATTTTCACCACAATAAGTTCAGGGACGACTTGCATAGCCTAAGATCCTACTCACACGCCAGGATGGAGCGTACACCAACGTCCAGCTTCTCATGTACGCTCCATCATGGGCTGCTACCCCACTTACGTTCCCGAGTAGACCTATCTTCCGAAAGTTTGGCGAACAACTCCTTCCTGCTTTATACTCGCCTCTCTCCAATCGAAAACAATGCATTGTGCGTGCCGCGCATCTAACTCTGCAGTTTTTGCGCGGTTGGTCTGGTCGTTCAGCTTGCTCGACGAGAGTAATAAGCTTTGCTTTACTTTAATGGCTCTTTTTTTTTGTTGATCCACTTCAAGCAACGAACACCCCGCCGTCTCCTCCGTCCGATCCATTTTGGATCTCACGGCGGAGAGTTTTGGGGTGTCTTAGCTCTAAGTCCTCCACCGCCCAATGGGGGACTTACGTATTTCTTTTAATGCCGTACCAATAGGCATTCACCTTAAGTATGCTTTTTCTTACTTTGGACTGTACCCTCCTCATCCTCTGGCGGAGGTAGAGAGGGGGGGGGGGGGCATGGCCTCTATTTTTCAGGGGGGGTTCGTGCTGGTTGGGGGTCGGGTCTATGTGTACTGCATTCTCAAATTGTCCCCTCACCACAGCTACTGTGGATTTTCAATTTACAGCTATCCTTACTCAACGAGTCTATGTGTCCGGCAATCTCCAATACAAATCAACCTGTGAGGTTTCAGTATTCAGCTTTCTTCACTCAATGCGTCTATTTGTCCGGCAGTCGCAAACGTCACTCAACCCGTTAGGTCTCAATACGCAGCTATCCCCACTCAAAGCCTCTATGTGTCTGGCACTATCCGACATCACTCAACTCGTGAGGTTTCAGGATGTAGCTATCCCCACTCAGCGCNATGTGTCTCTCCTCACTCAAAGCGTCATGTGTCCGGCACTATCCAACATCACTCAACTCGTGAGGTTTAGGTATGTAGCTATCCCCACTCAGCGCGTCTATGTGTCTGGCAAACTCACAAACCAATCCATCTGTGACGTTTCAGTATGCAGCTATCGTCACTCAACACGTCTAGGTGTCCGGCAATCTCCAATACAAATCACCTGTGAGGTTATGTGTCTCTCCTCACTCAAAGCGTCATGTGTCCGGCACTATCCAACATCACTCAACTCGTGAGGTTTAGGTATGTAGCTATCCCCACTCAGCGCGTCTATGTGTCTGGCAAACTCACAAACCAATCCATCTGTGAGGTTTCAGTATTCAGCTATATTCACTCAACTCGTCTATGTGCCCGGCAATCTTCAATGCAAATCACCTGTGAGGTTTGAGTATGCAGCTATCCTCACTCAAAGCGTCTATGTGTCCGGCACCATCCAACATCACTCAACCCGTGAGGTTTCAGCATGTAGCTATCCCCACTCAGCGCGTCTACAATGTGTCTGGAAAACTCAAAAACCAATCCATCTGTGAGGTTTCAGTATGCAGCTATCCCCACTCAGCGCGTCTACAATGTGTCTGGAAAACTCAAAAACCAATCCATCTGTGAGGTTTCAGTATGCAGCTATCCTCACTCAAAGCGTCTATGTGTCCGGCACCATCCAACATCACTCAACCCGTGAGGTTTCAGCATGTAGCTATCCCCACTCAGCGCGTCTACAATGTGTCTGGAAAACTCAAAAACCAATCCATCTGTGAGGTTTCAGTATGCAGCTATCTTCACTTAACGCCTCCATGTGTCTGGCAACTCAAACACCAATGCATCTGTGAGGTGTCATTATACAGCTATCCTCACTCAACACGTCTATGTGTCCGGCACCATCCAACATCACTCAACCCGTGAGGTTTCAGCATGTAGCTATCCCCACTCAGCGCGTCTACAATGTGTCTGGAAAACTCAAAAACCAATCCATCTGTGAGGTTTCAGTATGCAGCTATCTTCACTTAACGCCTCCATGTGTCTGGCAACTCAAACACCAATGCATCTGTGAGGTGTCATTATACAGCTATCCTCACTCAACACGTCTATGTGTCCGGCAATCTCCATCACAAATCACCTGACCGGTCGCCCCGGTGGTCTAGTGGGTAGCCTCGTAGCCTGCTAAGGGCCAGGTCATGGGTTCGAGTCCCGACAGAGTGAGCTATTTCTCGCGAATTATATCGTGGTCTCCGTTGGAAGCGCCGCGCTGCAAAGCTCGTTGTTAGTAAACTTGATCGACTTCATAAGTCGCGAGGGAAGGGATTGCTGTACCCTTCTGGCGATAAATATATCTCAGACAGGAACCGCAGGAGGGGGTCCAACCCCCCCCTCCTATGTGATCCCGGTTGGGTCGTCTAGCTGGTAGAAGTGGAGGATAGGGGCCAGAAGGGCAGACGGCAGAATCCAATGATGGGAGAAAAACAAACAAACAACCTGTGAGGTTCAGTATGTGTCTATCCTCACTCAACGCGCCTATGTGTCCGGCAGTCCAACATCACTCAACCCGCGGGGTTTCAGTATGCAGCTATCCCCACTCAACCCGTCCATGTGTCTGGCAATCTCAAACCTCACTCAACCCTTGGGGTTTCCGTATACAGCTATAATCACTAAACACGTCTATGTGTCCGGCAATCTCCTACATCACTCAACCTGTGAGGTNGAGAAAAACAAACAAACAACCTGTGAGGTTCAGTATGTGTCTATCCTCACTCAACGCGCCTATGTGTCCGGCAGTCCAACATCACTCAACCCGCGGGGTTTCAGTATGCAGCTATCCCCACTCAACCCGTCCATGTGTCTGGCAATCTCAAACCTCACTCAACCCTTGGGGTTTCCGTATACAGCTATAATCACTAAACACGTCTATGTGTCCGGCAATCTCCTACATCACTCAACCTGTGAGGTTTCCGTAAGCTATCCTCACTCCACTCATCCATGCGTCACGGGAGGGATGAAACAAAATTGACCCCGCTGAAACCGGCGGCGTGATTTTTTGTCTGTACTTTTTTTCAATTTTGTGTAGGGGGCAACACATATGTTGTCCCATATTTTTGCTTCATCGATTTTGCTGCATAGACTGCTATAGGGTTCAAGAACTCCAGCTTCGCTTTCGATTCCTCTTTGGTGCCCGCGTGGTAGGTTCCGTACGTATAATCGACCACAGGAGCCGATTTCGTAGAGTCCTGTAAACACGTTGGGTTCTCGCGCAATTCTTTCGAAGCTTAGTTCCGACCAGGTTGAAGCTCATAACTCGACACACGAGCGGCAACGAGAAGGTATGGAGTCCCAGGCCCTACTTCTTGGCTGCGCCCACCCCGCCACCCGGGGTGACAATATCAGGAAGTTTATGATCGTTTCTAGCGAAACAGCTGCCAGCCACAGCGGAGATATCACTGCCAGACCTGTACGTTGCTGGAAGAGAAGCAGTAGAAACAGAGGTCGGACATAGAATATCTTACATTCATCCCTGTTTCATTGTCGTGGACTCTTCCCATCTCTGGGTGGAGATGAAACTGTTCTGTTTCTGCATGGAAAACAAGAAACTCAATACGAAGTAGATAAGAGGCATGCCTGTATCCAATGCAACGGCGCCAGTTGCAAAGAGCGAGAGAACTCGGCGTGCAACCCGCGCGAGTTGCCCAAGCCCCACGTGCAGTGGGCTGGTTCTCCCCCCTGTCTTACCCTTTACTTAGACGAGGTGTTCCGCCGGGTGGCGATTAACGTACCCGAGGGGAGATTCGAAACAATCACGGCTTGGTTTTGCAGTGCCTCTTCTAATCAGCAGAGCGCGACCAACGCTCTTAAAACGTCGATCTCCGCCGTTCACGTGCTGGGTACTGTCTGCGGTTGCCGAATTTTGCGTTTCTTCCGTTTTTCCAGGAGCCAGCCAATACTCCTCAGCAAGCTCTGTCCAGGTCTTTCGGACGCTCACACCGGGGGGAGGTGGGGGAGGGTATGAAGACGTACACGCCGACGACATCCGGCACCGTCCTCGAGCGCCTCGCGGGTGCTCTGGCCGTCTCCACCTTTAGTACCTGCTACTTCTACGCGGTGCTCTGGCTTCCCGCGGTGCGCCGGTGTCCGTCCCGTAGCACTGTTTAGCATGGGAGTGTTGTCGTATTATGTGATCTTGTGTTGCCACTCGACCCCCTTGCGCTGCAGCTCGTTTTCCAGCCTGTGGTGCTGGATGTATAGTGTAGAGGAGCCTACACGCTGGGTCTCAGCTTGTCGTCTGTTTGGAAGGCTTAGACTTGACCACAAGGTCGCGTCTTCATCGCTCGGTCGGTTCGTTCCCGCTTGAAAGGTTAAGGTTTAGCCACCCGCTGCAGTGAGCTGTGTCCGACTCGAGGTCGGCCAGAAATATCCCTGCAACAAGATTGGGTTTTTCCCTGGTAAAAATATTCTTACGACGACATGTGTGGTCTTTCCGACACAGACAACACGTGGAATATGTACCTGATTAAACTCAACGTTCCTGCATTGGGATGGTTGCATGTGGAAGAAGGTATAACTTTACCTTGGACGTTCACCTTATTCCTCGTGTTGATTTTCGTCTTCAGGTGGGCCTGCTCTTCTTCTTTGTCTCCAGGACTGCCGCTGCTGCGGCCCTCGTTCCTTACGTCGTGTCGGCGGTGCTCCCGGCGAAAGCCCTTCCCTGGCTACTCAACACCTGGTTCTTTCGCTGCGCTTTGAAATACCACGACTTCGATGAGGTTAGTCGAGAGAGGGGTTTCGAACGGTTTGTGGGGGTTTGGGGGTTCTCAAAGCTTGCGGATGAAAAAAACCCGTTGATTTCGCACGGCGGGCTAGAGCTTCTCACCGGACCCTTGGTTCACGGCTCTTGTATAGCCAAGCGGACCACCCGTGAGATTGCACCAACCAAACAAGGTACAGCGGACAGAGTAGCATCGATCGTCGTGATGCTAAACAGCCGTGCACATCCATGGTGTGCTCACCTATTTTGGACGCATGAAGACCCTGCTCGTCGGAGGTTGGACGTTTCAATGAGAGGTGGTTTGGATTCATCAGCCCCGTGAGACAGTGGATGCAAGTGGGATCACAACACACAGCGAAGTACCAAAGCGATTTGTCGTGAAGCAAGCTTTCCCGGGCCCCTTGAGGCCAAAGATTCTTTGGCCCGTCCAACTCACCTCCGCTCCACCTGATTTCTATCCCTCAGTGTGAGATGAGTGCGAGTGTACTGTTCGGGGGGAGTTGAAAAGCCCCGGGTGTTCTGCTGGTGCAAGCGCGTCCCGCTTCTTCTTTTCTTTGTTCCTCCCCGTGATCGATACGCCAAGGACGTGAGATAGTAGTCGCCTCGCACGCCGGAGCGTTCTTGCGAAATCGTTCTCGCAACAATCGCGACCTCTTCGTGCCGCACTCGCACACACATGAGAACAGTGGTCGCTCATGGCGTGGTTGCAACACACAGCAGCCCATAGACGTTTGCACCGACTGGCTATGGTGTTGTGGTTTTTAGCGGTCCACCTGGTACCCCTTGGTGTGGTGCGCTGGTGAACGCCGGGAAGCTAGTACGCACGCGTCCACACGCATGGAAAGTTCGAGTTGCTTGGCTGATTGTGCATGACCAAGACGGCTGTAGCTGTCGCGTAAGTGGAGTCGCTTCAAAAGCCTTGACCGAAAGACAAATGTATATATCTACTCACAACCGCTTTGTCCGCAGTGTCCACAGACACGAACTCGCATTCTGTGTATCTTGCGCGTACAGCCATGGGAGTGCTTACTTGTGGCATCGGACCGAAAGAAGGGTTTAGCATTTGGCATGCTCGCCTGTGATTGCGAAAGTGGTTTCGTGCCCACGAGGATACAAATCGTTCTCTCTCTCTCTCTCTCTCTCTCTCTCTCTCTCTCTCTCTCCCTTCTTTCCGTGGTTACTGCGCTGCCGCCGTCTAGCGGTAATCTATTGTGGTAGTAACATGATATTCCCCCCCGCTCGCACTTCTCCCGGTGCTGGTGGAGAAGGTTGCGGAGACCTCCCAGGAAGAGATTACTCTGATCGAGAAGGACAAGAAGATCATCTTCGCGGCACAGCCTCACGGCGTCATGTCCATCACCGGCATCTGCAGCGCCATCAACATGGTGAGGAGAAAATTTACCTACCCTCGATTCGCCGGCCCGAACACTACTCTCGCGGGTGCTGTTCACGGAGAGCTACGTGCAGTGGAGGCGCTAGATAGGGAAACACTGTTCTTGGTTGCGCTTTTAGTATGCACCCAACGAGTACAGTCCCAAGCCCGAGCACCGTAGGTTGCAGAAGATGCGCCAACCCCTGGGCCGATTTGAAGCTCGATTTCTTCACGACGATATTTTTTTTTTAACTTAGTACGTTTAAAGAAAGCTCCCGGCGGAAACGGTTGCTTGTTTCTTGCGAGCAATCGATCTGACTTTTGAAAATTAGTCCAGGGTGTGGTATCATATGTGACCTACCGTGCCCGGGTTTCCAGAGTTGACGGAATGTATCGGTAGGAAACATCAGCTGCAGGTCCCTGGTTAAACGTAAACCACCAACGTAGTTTCTTGTCCGGAGGAACTAAAATCATGAGTCCTTCCTCCTGTGCGACCCGGGATGGTGCTCACAAACAAGCCAATAGGTGTACCAAATGAAATGGCGTTCGATAGAAGCGGTGACAACATGCACGACACGTTACACTCGCTTGCTTGCGCACTCTTGGCACCCCCCCCGCCCCCGGACACCTCACTCCGAAGTATTTTGAACACTCAACGCGCACACCTGTCTGCCCGACGGAAGGGTGTGAGATAACGAGCGATAATTTTCTTTGCACGGCATTGATATTTATAGCTCTACAAAAGACGACCCGAACGTCGGAGGCGTTGCGTTTTCCGCCAAAGGGGTGACGCATATTTGATGGATAACCACTAAAGGCGCGATCCGCAACTGATCGTCATGGGCTCTCCCCAGCTGAAAAAACGAAATTTTCAGAAATCGTTTATTTGTCTCGCTTTCAAACGCTCAAAACCAGCGTCTAAAAAGTTGAACAAGAAAAAATCGGTTCGGGATTGCTTTCGTTTCTTTTTTCGTGTTGCCGATATTTGTTTTCGTTGTTCACCTCGGCATTCGATTCCGCTTGGCCGATTTAGGGGGGGTAGAGCCACTCAGAAAGTTGATCAGACAAAAACTCAGGTGCGCCGGTCGATTTCAGGAAAACGAGATTGTGCTGAATCCTTCAGGAATACGTCAATTTCCCACGCATGTTTCTCAAAACCAAGAGCGAAGTGGACCACTCTGATTCAAGATTCGTGATTCCCACCCCAAAATTACCCGGTACTGAGACTTATAGCTCTCAGAACCGGCTTTTCGAGGTTTCGAGGGGAGGGGATGGTAGCCTTCCATCCCCGCCTTTTTGGCGNGGAAAACGAGATTGTGCTGAATCCTTCAGGAATACGTCAATTTCCCACGCATGTTTCTCAAAACCAAGAGCGAAGTGGACCACTCTGATTCAAGATTCGTGATTCCCACCCCAAAATTACCCGGTACTGAGACTTATAGCTCTCAGAACCGGCTTTTCGAGGTTTCGAGGGGAGGGGATGGTAGCCTTCCATCCCCGCCTTTTTGGCGTATTGGGATAGCTGTTACTCGGTGCCATCGATGAATTTGGAAAATCTGACGACGGATTCGCAACTCTCCACCCTCCTTTACCCCATGCTGAAATTTTCAGCCCAATCAGAGCTATTTAAGAGGGGGGGGGGGATTTTTTCGGGCCATCCCCGCTTCCTGGCGTTTTGAAAGTTTTCCCTAGTGGAAACAACAAAGCTGAATGAAACCCAGGCACTAGACACCTATTTTCCCTCCAAACCTCTACGGGTGGTGGAATCGAGCACTACCAACACACGAAAAAAAATTCAGACCTTAGCCGGGGATGGTTCATCACCATCCCCCCGCCAACAAAAATTCATGACGGTCAGTTGCGGATGGCGCCTAAAGTGTTCCCCCCCCCCCCGTCCAAGGCCGCCGAGTATTATTGAAGGCGTTTTCCGGTCCCACTACAAGAGACTGATGTGTTTTGGGTGCTCAGCCGGTTGCCATGTGCGCGAACACTGAAGAACCTAGGAGCTACAAAAAGAATTTCCGGCGGAAAAACCGAACCTTGATAACTTGACCATAACAACAGTTGCTCAGTAAAAATTCCCATACCAACACCTACCAAACATCCTTGCGCTGTCGGTTTACGCCACAGAGGAGAAAGTAGCGAGCCTCACGCATAGCAGGAGATTCTTATATTAGGTGCCGGCACCTTCTGAGGCGCTGTCGATGACTGCAAGGCTGACGTTTTTTCATTGGTCAGCCGGTTGGCAGGTGGTCGATGATCCGACTGAAGAACCACTCACTCTCACATGTACAATGTTTCGCATGACCAACACCGCCACCACCACCGTGGCAGGCGCCGCGACCGACCCCGCCGACCTGCACTGCGGACGTGATCCGGCGGATACCCATCATGAAGCACGTCTTCGGGGTCTTCGGGCTGGTCGGGGCGTCGGGCCGCAGCCTGACGTCGACCCTCCGCCGGACGAGTGTCGTTCTCTACGTCGGCGGCATAGCGGTGAGTATAAGACATGCTTATGGCATGAGCACCACTGCTGCTGTATGTAAATAGATGTATTCGTCCGCGTCCCCCAAGCTGCTGCTTTTCTACCGCCCCCCGCCCCCCCCCTGTAATTGTATGCCGGTGTCGCTTATTTGGGAACATTCAGGTTACCCCGGTGTATGGGTCACCCTTGGTTCAGAACATGCACACGAAAGGCTCGTACGTGCTTCGTGGGCGTGTCGATTTGCATATGCATGGTCTAGCAGTATTGGTGGCTGGGACACCAATAGATGGGAAAGCACCGCTACTTCGCTGTTGCCACCGCCGCCCTTGTCAGCGTCACCTCCTATCGCAGCTCGGATCGCCCCTACTTTGCATGACGAGCTTTGCTCTCTGCGCGTCGAAGGTCGCCAGCAGTTGGGGCCGTTGCGTCGTTTGCGTGTCAATAGTAGCCTGCGACACTTTGTAGATGCTTTCGTGTCCCTTGTGAAGTAGTTTGCGATGGTTTCGTTCTTTGATACTTCGAAATTGACAATTTTCTGTTTTTCTCGTACAACCTACCCCCCCAACATGCAGGAGCTGTTCCTGTCTAACCCGTCGGAGGAGCGGCTATACGTTGGAAAGCGCAAGGGTTTCATAAAGCTGGCGATGCAGACGGGAAGCGAGGTCATCCCTTGCTACTACTTCGGGAACACCACCTGCCTCGAGGTACAGTTGATGTTCCTGTTTAGTGCCGGTTGAGTAGTGCCGATGCCCGTTATATGACCGATGTTTTCGGCGGGCACACGCAGAGTGTCCAAGGGCACGCCATCCTCAATACCTTGAATAATGCCGGTCCGGTACAGTGCCGGTGTATTTTCGGGGAACACCCAGGCAATGTACAGGGACATCTACTGAATAGATGTTGGTGGTGGCGTTGAGCCAGACCGGGGACGGGGGATTCCGAAGACGGGCGCCGCAGAGGGCCTCCTTCCCCTCCTGACAAGAGTGGTTTGTTATGATCATGCGATGTTTGGGCTGGAGTTATGATTAACGCGCGCAGCTATGAAGAACGGCTGATGAAATGGATTCTCCCACACGTTCTACAACTGGACCTGTGAAGACCCGGCAGCGATACAGAACTGTGTTGTGACGCTTTTTCCCGTAACCTATGGAACGATCATCCGAAGGGGCTACTAAAAGATGTCGGCAACAAATTCGACGGGACAATGCTCGATGTCTGGTTCCAAAAAGCGAAACCCGTCATTAGCACAGGCTATCCAGGTATTTCCGATAAAGTGGATGGACGTCCGTGCCCAGAATATGGATATCGTCAACAACGCGGTCGTCAATTTACACAAGACCCAATCGGCACCCGTGTACACACTCGCGAAGCCACGTCCGGAGCATCGTCAGCGGCCGGAGAGATACGCGCCATCGGTTGATGATGGCGCCCTGGCTCGTCAGCAACAAGACCTGCCTGGTCAGCAGCAACGTGGTCCTGATGCCACGTCTTCATGTTCAACGCCAACCCACGGCGTTTCAACAACTGTCCCGAGGGAAAACGGAGGACGGCATCATCAACCTCTGCCGACAGCCGCGATTGGCACTGGGCCACAGAATAGTCTTGGCATTCCTGAATCCCGGCGCTGCTGGGCCTGCCACAAGATTCTCACCGAAGTTCAAGTCCAAGATACGGTATTTCCCCGACGGCATTGGCGTTTGGAACGATCTTGCCAAGAAGCACAAAACTCCTTCGAGACATGAGTGGAGGATGGTGACGAAGAAATTGACAGATAAGTTCTGCGACGAGTTGTTTGCGTACGTAATAAGCTGCACGGCATGGGGCAGACCATCGATCATGACGAGCTAATGGACATGCCCTTAGTGCAACTGCCGGAGAGGTACACTCTAGTCAAGCAACTCTTGCCGAGTCAAACGACACGTTCGACCTGGAAATTGGTAACATGCGCGCTATTCCTCTCGCCCAAGACCGGCGTTCGCGCGTCGCGAAGGGCCGTACATCGGCTATGCCAGCCCGGTCAACACACCTTCTGCGAGAAGAGGGCCATGAGTAATAAATAATGGCTTCCACCACGCTTTGAACGCCACAATGAACCAGCGGGCAACAGATCGGGTGGTAACAAGGGCGATTGGTGCACCCCTCACAAAATTTGTCTCCGCTCGACTATTGTTCTTGTTGTGTGCGCAACAAAAGCATCAACCCGGCAAAAAGGTCCGGGGCTGGGATTGACCGCAGGCGCCCATCGCACGCAGCGCTACAGCTGCAACCGTTACATCAGTGGTCACGGTCACGGTGGGCGTCGCTACAAGAACAATACCTACGACAGTCAAGGACACCCTAGCTCACCAGTTTCCGCCATCTCCCACCGAGATGAAACATTTCCAACGTTACTAGACCTTCAACGCCTTCATCTGACAACCACACCGTCCTCAGCAGTCACCCTGCGGGCATTACGTTTCCTTCATCGTCGCTGGGACCGACGTCAACACCAGTACCACTACTCCCACCTGGTTCGAAATGACCACGAGAGTTGACACCTCCAACCAACCAACCAATTCATCGACAAAGGGATACTTTCGGAGGTGAACCACTGAATGGTTGAATGCAAGAAAATCAAGTCCTCGCTGGTCATCCACATCGCCAATAGTGGAACTACAAAGTATCGAAAAATGTGCCCATCCAGCATTCCGTCCTTCTTGCCACCATCGTACCGGGTCTCGGGGGTGGCACCTATGTATTCCCCGTGGGAACGCCTGTCGTGTTTTCGGAGTACTTCATTCGAATGGAACCAAGTACCCAGACGTCTGGACCGCCCTACGGAACACGCCTTACCCACCTCGGTTGCGCGAGACAAGATCGCTACGCAGCACGCATTTTCAACACTTTCTTGCGTCTATATCTTTCGCCGGAAATACCCACTATCGGGGGGTTCCCCAGCGACGTCTCCACCTGCGGGTGCAACAACTACGGCGATGCCGCCAGGACGTGCTGTATATGGTGGTAGTTTCAAGTGCAGCACCCGCTGGTGGCCGATTTGCTACAGCTGCTTCTGCCCTACGGCCAGCACTTACTGTAGCTGTAGCACCAAAGCCTCGGGGCATCGAATATACAAGCGCTTGACCTATTATCCCCCATCGAGGAGAGCGGAGTACACACATGCGATATGTTTTCGGCGTGCAGCACGTGCAAATTCATAAGACGCATTCAGCAATATAATATCATCGGAAGATCTCCATGAAGGACGGCATCACTGAACGTTTTGAGCTCTTCGGCTCCAAACCTCTTGGACCCGGCACGCCAAGTGCGATGGGGGATCAACTACATGACAATGTTCACTGGTCTCACGGTCGGCTCAAGGCGATCAACTTCATCAACAGGAAGAGTGACGCCTTTTCTATTCTACCCTCGTCAGATTAAATGGCCTGGATATCCCGCTTGGACTACGGCTGCCGCGTCTACTTTCGAACAATGGGGGAGAATGTGCCCGCAGCGACGTTCGAGACTTATAGACATGCCGCCACACATTGGCATATATCCGAACGTGACAAGCAGATGAACGACGCGAACCTTCTGAAGCATCTTCCGAGGGGAGTAACAGCTACGTCAGTGCTCTGCACATGTCATCACCGCACAGGCCGCATGGTAAAGGCGCTAAATGTGGTCGACAAGCAAGCGGGTAATTATTTTCTGCGCATCATGGACTCTCTCGCCCTCCCTTCACGTCGAAGGGCACACTTGAAGCTTCAGGTTAGTGCGCGAGAAGGAGTAACGACAGCCCTGCTTGTCGCGTTTACCATCGGCCTACGGCACGCATCACCTGCTCAAGCAAGGTTGTCTTCATGAAACCGGCGCCTGCTCCGGCCGACGTCTCGGGGGAATCTTGCCAAGACCTCGATACCGACACCAAACAAGCAATATGGGTCAAGCGAAGACACGCCAGAGCATAGGTCAGCCGCGACGCCCTGTTCGGGCACAACGCCCCACATAATCGATCTTCCACGCACCAGCAACAAGTTGAACTAAACCAGTACGTTGGGTTCTGTGCGCCCTCGTCTCCTGCAAGGACTGTCATCACCCGGCACGACGTGAGGACGACTTCGAGGTGTTCTAGGGCGCGCGTTTCCGCTGATTTGTGTATCTAAAGCACCCGGACAAGCGGGAGACGATCGTCACGCGATCACCCCGCGCCAACGCAAGCGTAGACAATAAATGGAGAAAAGCCATCGCGTACAACACCATTCAAGGCAGTCATGATGTCCACACCTTCATGATCTACACGAGCTGCAAACAGACGCGAGAGCTTTCAACGTCCTGGCGGAGGAATATGAGTCGAAAACGGCAACGTCGAGTTCCTACTTTCTGTCCGATTGTGGCACATTGCGCTAGTCCAAGCTTGCGTAGGTGCCGGGTCATTGCGTGACGATCGCCGCACGTTGGTCCGCTTGCGCGATGCAGTGAAGCCCCCACGCCTAGTATACCATTTAGTCATCCTCATGTTGTGCCCTCATGATGACAGTACTCGCAGGAGACGGGGGGGTGGACGGAACCCGATGTAGTCCAGGTTGGGGCGTCGAGGAAGCGATTCTGTGCGGCGTTGTTCGCGAATAGACTGTCGCGGTTGACCCACGCCCTGTCTCTCCTCGATTAGCCCATGTGTAATGTTGTTGCTGCGTTGGCTGCAGTTGAGTTGACGGAGGCTTGAAAGGTGTGGTCCACAATCGCGCGATGTAGCTGCGTATTTCATGTTCGAAATGACGAAGATAATTAAGGCAAGCGTACGCTGTCAACAGAGTTGGGACCTTGCTTGCGCAAGCATTGCAGCCCCCAGACACTTCTACAAGAGGAAATAGCCCTCAGGAAGTTTCCTGGCGGAAGATTGCGACCCTGTGGACTCCGGTAGATTCCAACCGTTCCGATCAGCAAAAGAAACACTAAGTATTGTTTGTCGGACACGTGCGAGTTTCGAAAGCGCCATGTTTGGAGGCCATGATTTCCATCGAATTGTGCCGGTCTTGCCTCCGCTCGTCTGGAGATGTACCACCCGGTGCTACACCGAAGGAGCACGACGATAGCCGCTAGCATATTGTATTCCTGACCTTCAATACGGCGGAGCGGGTTGGAGACCTCTCCTTGTGTTCACTCCTGCGTCACTTCATTGTAGAATCGTGCACTCGTGCTTGACAGCTGCTGCTTGTCGTTTCTCTGTGTCGTGACGTCTACGTTCTGGGCCGGAAGCATAAGCCGCCAATATTTGTGAGCACCCCGATGTGAACCAGCTGTGAACCTGCGTTGCTCTTGTCGCCTAACCCCCCCCCCCGCCTCACGTCGTCTTTCTGAATTGTGCGTGTGGCTTCTTGCCCACCCGAAGATTCTGCGACACCCAGTTTTGACGAGCGTCAGCCGCAAGTTAGGAGCTAGTATCACTATCCTCTGGGGGCGGTGGGGCTTGCCGATCCCGATGCCTGGCAAGGTAAGACCATGTTTCATGTCGCGGTTGCACCGAGGATATGGGCGTTAAATCTCTCGGCAAGCTTTAGCTGTAGGTGCGAATAAATCATGTAAGTAGATCTGTCGATGATGGGACGCGCATTGATGTGTGGTAGTTCTTGACTCGACGGTGTTCGGAAATTTGAAACTTTGAGGAGGAGTATGTGTCAACTTCTCCCGGTCACGTTTGAAGACAAACTTGATCATTCCGCACAGATCTCTGTGAATGCCTTCTTCCTTGTGTGTCGTGTAAGATTTAGTGGCCAGTTTTAAGCGCGTAGTGTTCGGGGCTGCGTCGCAGCTCTTGCCGGGCGGCGAGCTCAATGGACCCAAAGTCTGCCGGAGAAGCAAGTAAGTACAACTCGACATACGCGACAAAGTCACCATTGAACATCCACGATGTACGTCACGCACACGCAACAGTCGGGCTATATTTTTTTGCAACCGTTCACCGTCCTTTTCGTCTTGCTCATGACGGAGGGAGGCGGCACCATGGGGGCGCCACGCTGACGAGCATAGTCGATTCTTGCTGCTGACAGTGTCGTCTTCGTCTCGGAGAAGCGGTCCTGAGTTTTGCATATGTCCAGTCCCATGTGGAAGGCACGCACCGCAAGGGGACGTCGGGACAAAGATAAAAGAGTCCCTGTGCTACCTTCATTGTCTGTGACCCAGGCTGATAAAGTCTAATCCACATACATGCTGACTGTCACCTTCCTGTTGTGTGGCCACGGCGGGTACTGTCAAATACTTCGAGTATGAAGTGCCGAGTACGTAGACAATACAAGAACGAAAGAAAAACACACCCAAACTTTCCTACTCTCTGTCAAGTGTACGTGAACCCTATCGCTTGTTGTCTTCAGCTAACAGCCCAGAAGATGCATGCGAAATTCAAAACGGCACAAACACGGTAGAGAGAAAAGTTCGATAAACTGCGAACAAAAAGCTCTTTCCACAAACCCATGACGATACACCAATATATGAAGTGATTTGATCCCGCGACAACCCCCTCTAACCCCCCCCTCTCTCCTCTCCTCCCTCCGCACCATGTGCTCTGCCTGCCGCCCTATCCGGTACCGCTCCATGCCGCCGACCCCCGGCTGGCAATCTCCCCTCCGTGTTGCCCTCTTCCCCTTGCATACAAGTCGTTGTGCGTAATCGGCAAGCCGATAGGTATCCCGAAGAAGGAGTTCCCCTCGGAAGAGGATGTCGACAAGTGAGTAAAATACGGGTAGGAAAATCCTCAAATCACTAGGATACAGGCGTGGAGAAATCCGAGACTGGTCTTTCCGTGGGCGAGGACCATGTACCCTCCGCTCTCAACTTTCGTCCGAAGTTTATGTCTTACAAGAAGCGACGAAACACAGAATTATCCGCATGTCTGTATATTTTCCCCACTTCGAAGCAGAATCGTGCGCGGCAGAAACCACCAGCACCGCAACCTCTGCGTTTTTTCTGCACGCGGCGAAATTTTGGTGCTACCGGTGCAAAATAACACCGTCCCCTCGCCGACTGAATGAAACGCCCTCTAACCTGTCGATTATTTTCGGCGACTTGTGGCATCCCCAAAATTATGTAGGTACTGCTTACGTACCCATGCACCCCACATATTTGTGTAAACCTACTTCGTTTTTTTGTGGTGCGGTCGACGAGAACGCTTCCCTCGCCGACTAGTACAACGAAATGACACGCCATTCTGATACGTCTTCTTTCGACTGTTGCATTTTCGGCGGTTGCATATGAGAGGCTACGATGTTGACAAGCGCGTGAATGGTTGAAGCATCGTGGGGACGTGGTCGTGGCCGTTTTTTTCTATAGAAACACGACAACCCGATCTCTCCCTCCCAGTGGATACACCACATGGGGATAGCAATTAACCCATACTGTTTCCTTTTTTGTATAGACTATATATGACATCCACATTTGAAGAGAATCTGCCGAACTGGTAAACGCCCGCCGATATCAACGTTTCGCGTCCTACGATGAGAGCGATGGTGTCGACATGAGGGAGAAGATATTCTAGAACCCTTGGAAACCTATTTTATGAGATTTTGAATTTAAACACAGAAGTCATCTCCATGAATGGAAGTTAAGAAAACGGGCGTCCGACGAAAGTGAAAGTGATCTTGTTTGCATGATGTGTTGTGCATCATCAGAGCGTTTTCGTAGCACGTTTTCCGTTTTGTGGACTATCCCCCGGCGGTCAACCAAGTACGGAGTTGCTCCCAAGGGGAGCGATCGTCCGTCGCTAGATGTGCGTCAAAAACGACCAGAAAGCCCGGCGCGAGCGTGTGCTGCTGAGCGATTTCCACCCTAAACTCGTACCAGTGCCTTTCACCTTCACTCTTATTGCTCGTCGCCCCCCTCATTCTCCGCGCACATGAGCCAACCAGCAATAACCCACAGTTTTCGTTGGCGCGCTTGAAGGTGCAGACGCTTGTTTCGTCGCCCGGTGTACCCGTTTTCGGCGGTATTGGCCGTTTCGGCAAGCGGCGGGATAGCTTTTGCCGAGCTGTATCTGTTGGCCTGTCAGCCGTTGACAGTCGATTGCCAGAAATACCACATTTCCCGGTTTTCAGCATGCACAGCAAGCTCCCTGTCTCCGCTCCTTTCCACCAGACCGTGTATCCGCTTTGTACGTTCTCAGTCTCTGCCTGTGTGCGGGCTATAACTTGTAGTTTGTGGGTTGGAATGAGATCTCCTCGTGCCTGCGGGATGACCTGGCCCGAATGGGCACTCACCCCCCCCGCGACCACCGCACGGGAATTATGTCTAGGCCTCTCGGGACGACCTCAAGAGCTGAAAGCCTGTTCGCGTTCTGCTTGACTTGGACGGGGAGCAACGTAGTCAACAAAGTGATTGCGTTTCGGAACATTTGGCAAGAAACAACCATCTTCATTCATGTGAAACAGCGTTTGTTGCACAAAGTCGGATCTTTGTCCGATGGGACAAGATTAAAACGATTGCTTCCGCTGTGGTGCGACCCCACCCTGTATCCCTCTTACTTTGTCCGCGGCATCCGCGCTGTTTTTCTTTTCACGTTTTCGTGATGCGTCAGATACCACGCGGTGTACGTGAAGGAGGTGAAACGAATCTTTGACACGTACAAAACACGCCTCCCGGACTACAAGGACAAGAAGATCATCATCGAAACCTGAGTCTTAGTTTCTCGGGAGAGCGCGCGCATGTGCGTGTTTGCAGCTGGAAGCACCGCAGTGCTTTGTTGATTGTTCGTGCTGTGAACGCCGCCTCGGTGTGGTCGTCGAGTTCCCCCCCTCTCACAACGTTAGCGTGGGTGCGTGCGGGGGTACCCGTCGTAAGTAAAGTAGCAATTTTGGGATCGATTCCTGCAGACCCAGCGAAATTGTAAACAGTATGCGGTACAACAGTCGTTCGACCCGGCACCTTTGAGATCACGCACGTCCGCTTTGCGACAGCCACCAGAAAGGGATTGTGTAACAAATGGGAGAACGTCACAGATTTCCCATACTTCTCGGCCTGGTTCACACCACCATTCCGGCGACTAGACGGAATACTGCTTTCTGCTGCTAGCCCTTGATTGTTGTGTGTGAGTACCCCCGTGGGGCATCGTTGTCGGGCTCCCGCTGGTCGTTGGTCCAATCCCGTTTGTGTACCCGAGAAGTTGAAGGCCTCCGGGGCCTCGGGGATGTGCGTGTGTACATGTGTCCTCCAGAGCAAGAATAGCAAAAAAATACGGGACAAGCTCCAAATCCGTGCGCGGGTTATGCGATCTCTCATTGAAGGAGCACCTCTGGGCAAAACTGCTGGAGGACAAAGTGTACACATTTGCTTGCGAAGGTTGTTCCACGAAATATTTCGGAGCACGTGAGAATGATAGTGACGTAATCACAGCGTGCCGTGCCGTGAGCACAACTTGTTGTTTGTTAGCTTACTCTCCCATGCCCCTGTTGCTGGACGCTTGACAATGGTCGAATGCGAGTGGAAGGCCTTTAAAGCATACATCATCTTGCCTGTCGCGGACGGGCAAAACATTGATAACCTTAAAGAAAGTAATTTGCTTTGGACGGTCCAACCTCACACAGAAACCCCGTCGATATTTATTGACGATTCCCCTCGTCCAAATCGGATCGAGGCTCACTTTTCACTTCATCGCCTCATCGAGAAACGGGTTTTTCTCTAGTTGCTGCTGTTTCATGGACGGGCAATAGTATCGACTCAACAAATCTGTGATGTGATGGTGATAGATGGGTCTGGGTTTCTTGTGAGTGTGTGTCTTTGGAGTGTCGTAAGAGGCGGAGAGGTGGCAGGGGTCGGCGAGATCGCACCTGGGTGCGCAAAGCAATACAAGCACGGCGTGTTTTTCTTCAATTTCTGCACCGGTGTCGGTGAGATGCACAGGGCGATCACACCGACCCCCAAGTCCAAAGGAGGATTGAGCTCTTCTTGACTGCCGTACAATAGGTACATGTCCGTTACTTCTACCTAGGGGTACACGCGTGGTACCAGTTGTTCAGCTTGATCAGAATGAAAGTTATATGTCGTACGCTCAACCAAGCGCGCAAGACACTAGCCGCTACCTACCCAACCCTAGATGTAGCATTTGTTGTACTGCTTGCTGCGTACGCTTGGTCATCGTGGAGGACGACCACCCATGTAGACTTAACCGACAGCGGGAGACCTGATATCGCATGTATGTACCGGTTACCCAGATGGACACAACATCGTTGTGTCCTTTTGTCACCCCTTGAGTCAAACTCGCATCGCAGTACAGTATTGAGGGATGCATTCGCGCCAAGCGATTTTGTTGCCGTTGAAGACCTAGAGGGCATCTCGCTATTGAGGGCACAGCTATTGAGGACCGTCGACTGTAATCGAATCCCGATTCGGGTGAACCGCAACCATATTTGCGGGACCACGGTCTACTCGCATGCACGGCGCGTGCCCATCTACCCCATCCACACGAACTCCATTCACCGCCGAGCACAGAGGAGAGAGAGAGCACAAAAAGCCAACCGAAAGAGAGGGTGACTGCGCATCTTTGTTGCACGTGACTGGCGCCGAAAGAAAACGTGTGTGGGATGTGTTGGTCGGTTGGGCAATCCCCCGTGGGTTGTCGAACCTCAAATGCACAGACGAATTTTATTGGTGGCTCTCCGTCGGACGAGGCTCGATTCAAAGTCTCACATGTAAAGATATCGTGTCAGTACCGCACAGAGGCCATGTACGCGTTTTGGTGTGTGCTTCTCGGGAGCGATAGCTCTCCATGTGGTGTGGCCACGTCATTACAGTACGTCACAACAGCAATCTGGCAGTTGGCAAGCGGCGGACGGACTTCTCGGGTTGTTCGCGGTGGACTGCCGAGATTCGTTTCGATTTGGCAGATTTTTCACACAGGCCATTTCTGTCCGGATTTGGGTAGATCCGACTGTTTCATTCCTAGACTGGTATATTTCGACATGTGATTTCGAGATCTGATTTCTTCGTTAAGACCTACCCTTAGAGCGGGCGCTTTCGCTCTCGGGATGTTTTTCTGTTTCGGTATGTCGATCGCACGCTCGCTCCACACAGCACACAACCGCGAGGCCGCGTAGTACACACGAAGGCTCTCTCGCTCTGTAGATTGTCTCTGTGTCCCTCGCTATCTTTTGTTCGTCTGTTTGCTGCCTGTCTTTCTCTTTCTCTGTCTCCATTACTCTCGCTCACTCTCTATGTCCCTCTCTCTCCTCACCTTACACATCCTCCATACGGAAATCCGATTCTTCTGAGTCGAGGCATCATTCACTCTCCAGCTGTACAAAATTCACGCTGGGCACTTCTAGAGCAGTACACAGTAATATTTGTCGCTTTGTTTGTCTCTAGTCTCGGTCTCTCTCGCTCTCCTTCTTGCTCTCTTTCTCCCCCCCTCTCTCCCTGTCTATCGCTCTCTACATACAATCCCTCCGATTTTTCCGGGGATCTTTCCCATTCGCTTCTTCTTATGTTTCCATAACTTTTCGGTGTTCTCTCTCCATTCTTCGTGCCGCCCCTTTCTTCGTGCCGCCCCTCTCTTCGTACCGCCGCTCGCAGACGCCCTTCGTGTTCCGTTGGGGTGTATAGTCTACAGGATGACACGCTGTTGTTCTTTTCAAAAGAACAATATAGAACAGCATCGTGCTTCAATGCATGTGTCCCAATACATGCGTGGCTGCCTGTAAAGTCTGTTGCTGTGTGCAATTCGTTTCACTCTGGGTCCATCCAATATCTCCGAGCAGAGATTCTTCCAAGCAAACGCAGGCAAGGCACATCATATTCAATGCTTATACATTCCGATCTCTTCGAGTAGACTGGCTCGATGGTCCGGTCCTTCTGGCTTTCCGATCACACGACGTCTGTCGCTCTGTCCTCCGCTGCACACATTTCTTCGAGGCTCCCCGCTCACACGGCACTAGGTCTGACCCTCTGTCGCTTCCCTCTCTGTCTGGATCTACACTAAGAGGGCTCCATTTTGGGTCTTCTCGGGCTCTCTTACAGCGCTCCATGATCAATAGCGCGTTTCCATCTGTTCCGAATCTCTGTAGCTCGCTGTTGTTTTCTTTCTTTCACCGTTCCACTCTCCTGTCGCATCATTGCGTCTGGCTCGTTCATCAGACCCGGCTCGGGCACAGAACCTTGCTCCGTTTCACACACGTGACAGAAGTATTCATGGGGACGTACTTCACGGAAATCTCACAGCCACGGCATGCCACAAACGAACGCCCCATTCAACAAACGCCGACTAACATCGTGCAAAACACCAAGTAACATTTCTTGCGGCACGCTTCTCTCAGCTTGGCGGCGTAAGCCGCCAAAAGCCTTGTATCGCAATCACTCTACAGTCAAGAATGTATACAGATGTAGGAAAGTGAGTGGTGATTGGATCCAAGGTCTAAATATGCCACAATAAAAAGAACGATACTATAGTTGAAGAGGTGGATGGATCTACGGGCTCTACGAAGTATTCTACTTACCGTCGCTGGCATAGATAGGGTCGTGCTGGGGGATATTTCGATATGCCTCACCACTCTCTATTGCTCAGTAGTCTAGGTGTCTCCGTGCCATTCGTCTGCGTCGTTCGTGTCCGTGTCACTCACCATTAGAGGCTTCCAGAAGTTTCTCCGTCTTGTTGCTGTTCTTCATCCCGGCACGTCCGGTGCTGCTGCAAAGATGAACAGCGCGGCAGGTGCGACGACGGATGTATGAAGCGGAATCGCAATAGTGACCTTCAATAGCTCTGTACGGAGTCAAGATTTTTTTAGCTACAACCAGTGCATACACCTGGAGAAACCATGTACTCAGCGACCCCCCGACCCCCCGAAACGTCCAAAAGAAACAAAGTTTTCGTGTGATTGAGAGCGAAGTTTCTGATTGAGAGCGAGATTGCGCGATACGCTGTAGCTGGGCTACCGCTGAGAGGTGGAGCTTGCTGCGTGACTTGAATTGAAGGTCTAGCCCGTAGCTACAAGCCGATACCCTGGTCCTCCTGTGGGCGTCTCTCGTTGTGGAGCTACAGCGGGGAGCAGAATCTACAGCAGAGCTCACCGCCCGCGATCAAATCGCCCTGAAACAGTTTGAGGCAGGAATAGCCAATCTGGGGAAATCTAGCAACTTGTCTAGCTCCTAGCTGCAGCATCCGATCGCGATGACACGCATATTATGCTCGTGACGCTGCTGATGAGACCTTCAATTTGCGCCGCTTCTTGGAAGAGCCCGCCCCCTACTTCCCAAGAAATGGCAAGAGGCGTCTGGACCCGAAATTTCAATTTTTTTGGCTCCCGCTCTCAATCGTATACTCCGCTCTCAATCAGGCGAAAACCCTGTTAAGACCAAAAGACAAACAAAAAGTACTATTCTTCTTTCAGCAACTCAGCCGATTTTCCGCTACTGAACGTGTAGTTGTGTCGCATCCCTCCTCCCACGAATAGATTCAGGTACAAGTGTCGGATACTTTCTGTCGAGTGAAAATCTACATGTCCCTTACAGCGGTAAGTTGACACATCGAAACACTCTATATTGGGCAGGTTTAGTCTACCACGACGGGCGAACATTTGTGAACACCACCTGTTTTTGTCTCGGCGAGCTCTGAAATCATTTCATTTTGCAATAATCCTGTGCATATACCGGCCGCCCCGGTGGTCTAGTTGGCTTCCTCGAAACCTTCTTGAGGCCAGGCCAGGGGTTCGAACCCCGGCGTAAGCGAAATTTTCTTGAAAAGTGAGTTTTTCTCTCGCTTTCGCTTCTGGCCTAGCGGATAGCGCTTGTTCGTGTGTACCCTTCTTAGGAAAGAGAGTGCTGCACTGTTTTCGCATTGAAAATCGAAGGTAACGTACCGCAGGAGGGGAGGGTAGAGAGGGGCCCTTCTGTGTAACCACGAGTTGGAGTATGACGACACTAGCACTGTGAGCGCTGAATTGAAGTATGTGAAGACAAAACTAAGTAATGTAGACTATAGACTATACATGGACAGTCTAGTCTAGCTATATGTACAGGTATTTTTTTTTTTTTTTGCCTTCAGACAATTGCAGATGTACCTCAGCAAACTTTCACTTAATGTCTCATACTCTACATGAATATTAAACCAATACGAAGTACAACAACAAATGTAGGACTTATTTCTACTGTCACACACATCGTAAAAATATCTCCTCTTCAACTTGAAATAAAACCAATGACAATCCTCATGGTATCCTATATGCGTCCGTAAGCTTGCTAAAATACTACTGCGTTGATGTCCGCTTGTAAAAGAAGCTGAAATCCAACAAATGCTTTGATCCATGCTACATCTCCGTGTTGGAAAAGCCCTTTCTTCTCCGTTCATGATAACATCTTACCCTATCCTACTCAAATCTGGCACATCTACTCTCAAACAAGACGCCAACTTCAAACGAAAACGAGTTCTACGATGCGTCTACACTCCATCCCCATATCATTGGCGTTGACTGGTTCGAGGTCGATCTTGTTCGCCTGTTTTCGGCGTCTTGACGCCCGCGCAATGCGAGCTTGTACCTCTGCACTCGCCGAGATATGGCCACCTGTGTAGCCACTGAAACGATCTGAAGAAGTCGTTCCTTGATATAGTCTACGTTTTTGTTGGCAGGTCGTTAGCAGTGGAGGCTGTTCGGGTGTTCTTTGCCCTTCTGTTTCCAGGCAGCTGTTCGACTTGAAGAATCTTCCTAGTTCTTTGAAAGAGCTGTGACATTCCTTGCTTTCTTTCTTTCTGGCACAACTTTTTTTTTTCTCCCATCATTGGACTCTGTCGTCTGCCCCTCTGGCCCCTATCCTCCACTTCTACTAGCTAGACGACCCAACCGGGGTCGCATAGGAGGGGGGGGTTGGACCCCCTCCTGCAGTTCATGTATATCCAAGGGTAAGCGCAGCAACAGTGAGTAGAACTACNCTTCATCCTAGCTAGACCAGGATTTATTTAGTGAGAAATAAACTCTCTTTGCCGAGACTCGAACCCATGACCTGGCCCGTAGCAGGCTGCGAGGCTACGCACTAGACCACCGGGGCGACCGGTAGACTACAGCTGTAGTAGCGGGTAGAACAGCGAAGAATTGGTCACAGGTCTCCGGATTACATGCAGCAGTTTCGAAACCGCGCACACGTAACAGCATATTGGTGAAATTGAGAGCAAAGAATCTGATTGAGAGCGAGATTGCGCGATGCGCTGCAGCTGGACTACTGCTGAGAGGTGGAGCTTGCTGTGCAGCTTGAATTGAAGGGGCAGCCCATCGTTACAAGCAGATACCCTGGTCATCCTGTGGGAGTCTCTCGATGTGGAGTTACAGGTGCGAGCAGAAGCTACAGTAGAGCCCAGCGCCCGAGGACAAACCGCCCTGCAACAGTTTGAGGCAAGAACAGCCAATCTGGGGAAATCTAGCAACTTGTCTAGCTCCTAGCTGCAGCATCCGATGACGATGACACGCATATGCTCTTGACGTAGGCCCTGACCTGTCATGCTTATTTCTCGACATTTTTACAGTGCACGTTTTTCGGCGCGTGCGTCAGCTCAAAAGGCGACTTTTGCACGCTGGCTATGCTCAAAATGGCGACTTCTGCACGCTGGTTATGCTCATTTTCCTCGCGTGTGCTCGTACTTCTGTACGCTTTTCTTTGTCCCTCGTGCTCGGGAAATGCTTGTTTTGGTCGCTAATGCTCGACATATGCGCGCGCGGTTGGCTTCGTCGACACGCTTTTCCTATTATTATGCCGTCTCCCACTGTCGAAATGTATATGAATAGTTAATTGTGTTGCTGTATCACAGCGCAAATTATCTTGGACTCTTCTAGTCTTTCAGGAAATGTTTCTTCCACGCATCCGACTACTACTACTCTGCACTCGTTCGTTCTAGTAAGGGTGAAGAGGGGACTACTTTCCCGCATTCCCTTCACCCTTAGTCATCCGTGATCGCCATTCGGCAGATAGAGTTGATATATTTATTTCTGGAATCAGTCGCGGTAAAATACTTCAAGCAATATAAATGCGCCTCCAACAGCCCCTCCCTGCTGTAGCAAATGCGCCTCCAACAGCCCCTGCTGTAACAGTGTCAAACCCATCAGAACACCAAATCAATTGCTGTCAGTGCCTCTAGAATCATGGATACATTCCATCCCCCCCCCAATAGTCTAATTAATTGTCGATGCAACGAAAAATAGCAATAAGTTTCAATTAAAAACAATCAACAGTCATAGCAGTGCGGGCTACTAGGCTATTGTTGCTGTAAAATGGAACACCGCTGGCATACCACNGTAGCAAATGCGCCTCCAACAGCCCCTGCTGTAACAGTGTCAAACCCATCAGAACACCAAATCAATTGCTGTCAGTGCCTCTAGAATCATGGATACATTCCATCCCCCCCCCAATAGTCTAATTAATTGTCGATGCAACGAAAAATAGCAATAAGTTTCAATTAAAAACAATCAACAGTCATAGCAGTGCGGGCTACTAGGCTATTGTTGCTGTAAAATGGAACACCGCTGGCATACCACGTAATGGCCACTGAACCAAACAGCAGGGTTGCCCTGTTTTCTGCAACAAACCGCACAAACGTCAAGAAAAAAATTCAAGCCAAAGCCATGCCACACATACATTCAATTCCAACAGGAACAAAAATACGCACAGACACATGTGACTTCCTTCCTCGTCCGTAGAATTCGACTGAAAATGCAGTACCAAACGAAACGGAAAAATAAAATAAGAAATCGCCTCGAATACGATATATCGGACTCATATCCAAGACACCACAAACACTCCCGTACTACTACTCTCCGCGCCCTCTATTGTACTTGATTGAGAAGGGCAGCTGCGGCAATGCGATCGCTGAAGCTCGACTCCTGCCTCTGGTCCATACACGCACGCAGAATAGAAGATGCTCGCTCCATGAAGGCAGAGGATGGCTGAATCAGTGATGTGCGGTGTGTCCTGTGTTTCTGTGGTCTTGGTCTTAGGTCTTCGGTCTTTGCGTCTTTTCTCTCCTCTCTTCTTGTACAAAAGTCATGTAGTTTGAATCAACAGTCATCAAGGTTGTTGGTTTTTTATAATTTCAACAACGAATGTTTTCAATTAACAACACCGAATCTCCAATCAATCTCCAGATCTACAATTTGTGGTCTGATCTGTGAACTTGAAACTAAAGAGGTAAAAGACCTGACAACAGAATTGTAGTTGCTGTTTGTTGTGTAGTTGGCAGTGGTGGCGCAGTTTGGGTAGATACAACACAGAGTGATCATTAGATCCAAAACACAGGCGCCCAAGCTGTCTTCACCTGACGGTTACAGACTTGGAGACACGCCTTCACAATACTGCACAAAACCCATGCAGTAGAATAGAGTCAGTTCTTGCATACAAATCCCAACATGTCCTCTCAAGAACTACGTCATGACTAGCTCTGATACATAAGACACAAAATTCTTTCTCTCAGTGTCCTCTCGAAACAAATACCAGTGTCCTCTCGACAAATGCTATCAACATGAATGCATGCTCTCGAACAATTCAAATTGAATACTCATCACTAACTGCCAGAGTTTTCTGGGCAGCGAATTCCATGTACCGTCCAACCCTTTTAAGACATATGGTCTGATTTCGGTAAGGGGAGGTACTCACACTCCAAGCAAAATAAGGCGGTTCTGCAGGAACTTCACAGCTCCCGAACTTTTGGTCAATATGTCTGCCCTCTGCCTGTTGGTGTCGATGTAAGTTACATCTACCACGTTTTGGTCCTCTAGGTGCCGGACGTGGTGGAACTTCACGTCGATGTGCTTCGTGCGGGGCGTGATTTTGCTACCCTTTGCGAACGCTACGGCACCCGCGTTGTCCTCGTACAATACTGTTGCTTGCTTCTGCTTCATCTTCAACGACTCTAGCAAATTTCGAAAATGTATAACCATGAGGCACGCCTTGGACAGCGCGACGACTTCTGCCTCGAACGTGGAGATGGCCAGCACCGTTTGATTCTTGGCTATCCAGATCACTGGGCCACCTGCGAGATAGAGAACGACACCGGTTGTGGAGTAGCCCTTGTCTTGGTCACCGGCAAAGTCAGAATCCGCGTACGCCGTTAGCTTGTCTCCGCCGTCGGCGTCTTCGGTGTATGTGATCCCGATAGTGGTTGTCCCTTTTAGATACCTGAGAACCCGCTTCAGCTTTGCCATCGCCTTGGGACCCGGTTTCGCCATGCTCTTCGTAAGCACCATCACCGAGTGGGTAATATCCGGCCTCGAACCCCTGCTGAGATACAGGAGACTGCCCGTGGCGGACCGGAAGTACACCGTGTCCTCTGGAGACAAAACCTTCTCCTCCACGGTGCTGATAGGCCCAGCCTCCGCAGGCGTCTTCGTAGAGTGCGCGTCGGCCATTCCGAACTTGTCAAGTACGGCCTTCGCGTACATCTCCTGCGACAGGAAGATCGTTCCGGCGTCGACGTTCCTCTCAAGTGCCATACCGAGCAGGAACTGTGCATCTCCCAGGAACACTGTGTCGAACCGCTCCTTCAGCTGCTCGACGACCCGCATCACCTGCGCTTCGTCGCTTCCCGACAAAAGAATGTCGTCGACGTACACGAGAAGGAGGACCCCTCCCGCGTTAAGGATGTAGAGACAGGGGTCCGCCGTACTCTGAACGAACCCGATCTCCAGCAGGAAGTCGTGGAAGGTGCCGTTCCAGCCCTTCGGAGAGAGGCGCAGCCCGTAGAGCCACGCCTTGAGTCGCCACACTTTTCCCTGTTGTTCCGGAGAGCACTCGAACCCTTTCGGAGGGATGACGTAGATCGGTTTCGCATTTGCAGGAACCCGCGCGTGGAGGAATGCCGTCTTGATATCGGCTTGCTTCAGGCCAAAACCATTCTTGGCTGCGATAGCAATCAGCAGGTGGACGGATTCCATGGACGCCACAGGCGCCGCTTTATCCTCGCCCGTGTCTGCTTGGTGAAAGCCTTGGACCACAACGCGGCTCTTCAGTCGAGCAAGCTCGCCATTCTTGTACTTCCGCTTATAAAGGTACCTTGACGGGATCGGCTGGTCCTGGGCACTCGTCGGCGGCTCGACCCAGTCGTACACATCAAGGTCGACAAGCGACTGGTTTTCGTTCCGCATGGACTCTTGCCAGTCTAGAGCATCCTGCCCACGGATCGCTTCGTCGTAGCTCGAAGGGTCGGGAGCCCTGTAGCCCACTTCGCCAGGGTTGCCAGTCCCGTTGTTGCCAAGCGAGCTTCCGGTGAGCAGGGAGCGTTCCACTTGCTCGAAGGCCTCCTCCTCCGTGGCAAAGGTAAACAGGTTCAGACGTTCAGTCGGCTTGGGGTTCCTGGTGCTGCGACGGGGGCCCGGCTCTTGCGCCTGAGGCGTGGGCTCCGGCTCGTTATCCTTCTGCTCGTCTTGTGGCTCCACCACACTGTCGACGTCGTCATCAGACTCTTCCGGACCGGGATGGTAAATCATTGGAGTCTCTGGCAGCGGATCATGCCCTGCCTTGGGGGGAACCACGTCGCGCGGGGCTTTCTCGCGAATAGAAACTTCGGCGGAGTTGGTGATCTTAAACTTGTCACGAGGGGACCATAGCCTCCACGACCGGCTTTTAGGGTTGACACCGACCAGAAACATCTTCTCAGCCCTGGCAGCCAGTTTGTTGGGCCTGTCCCCCGCTTCCACGTGCTTAAAGCATACCGAACCGAATTCGCGGATGTGGTGCAAGCTGCCAAGCGGTTTGTTCTCCCATACCTCAAGTGGTGCCTTGCCGCCCAAGACGTCCGTAGGCGTGCGATTCAGTATATAGATCGCGTATTGGAACGCTTCGGCCCACAGACTCTCCGGTAGATGAGGTGCCCCAAGAAGAAGGCGCCGCGTTATGGCTGCGACCGTGCCAAAGCCACGCTCGGCGACGGCGTTGCCTTGAGGCATGTACGGGGCGTTGGTCTCGATTTTGATTCCAAGTGATGCTGCCAGCGCCGCGAACCTTCCCTTGAACTCGCCCCCTCCGTCGCAGTGTAGCGTGGTGATACACAGTCCTTCCGGGTCGGCTTCCTCCTTGACAACAGTTTCCAGCGCCTCAGCAGCTGCATCTTTGCTCTTGATGGGAAAACCAAACCTCATGCGGGTATTGTCACACGTGAACATCACCGCACCCTTGTGTCCACCGAGAGATTTTACGGAGTGCGACCAGGTGTCTACGTGCAAGAGCGCAAGACGAGTGCCGGCGCGAGGTCGGTTAGCCGGTGGGTGACTAGACTTCTTGCTGTTGCCGACAGCACATACCTCGCAGTCGCCAGACTCGATGTTTTGGTCAAATTTAACCCCAGAATGCTCCTTCCTCGCCAGCTGCTGGAGGGCGCGCGGATTACAGTGGCCCATCCTCCGGTGCCACATGTGTGCATTCACCTTCGTCTTGAGCAGCATCGCGGTCCCGTCCATCCTCATGTCGTCGAGGACAATGTTCACGCTGTACATCCGCGAAATCTCCGTGGAGATGGGGAAGGCCTGATCGCTGCTACGGAGTGCTGGAGGAGTAGACAGAAGATCGCACATCACCCCCCTTTCCTTCAGGGCTCCGACCGAGAGGATGTTCGCTCCTAGGTTGTCAACCAGTAGTACTTGTAGCTCCACCGGGACGAGTTGGTTCCGGTCGTTTGAGATGCCGAAACGCAGGATACCTTTCTGAGCCGCGCTCGACGTTCCACACGAACCTTTGATCCTCACGTTGCAGTCCGACTTCTCGGTCACGTGGCGAGATGCGTAGGAATCCGCGCTAACCATGTGGCTAGACGCTGCTGTGTCTACGAACATAATGGTGCTCCTGGCGGACTCGTCCTTAACCTGGTACACACTGGTGTAGGCAACTATATCTGTTGCATCAGCAAGCGGGTTCTGCACCTGAACGTCACTAGCAGCATCAGCAGCACGCTCCTCGGGCAGCGGCACAGCAGGGGTATCCAGCACTTGCTCATCGTCGGCAGCGCGCTCCTCTGGCAGCGCCGCGGCAGGCGCCTCCGCCACCTGCTTCTCAGCAGCAGCGCGCTCATCGGGCAGCGCCACAGCAGGCGCATCCAGCACCTGCGCATCATCAGCAGCGCACTCCTCTGGCAGCGCCGCAACAGGCGCCTCCGGCACCTCCTCCTCAGCAGCAGCGCGCTCCTCCGGCAGCGCCGCGGCAGGCATTTCCAGTGCCTGCGGATCGTAGATGACAAGACCTTCCTGCACGCCCACGGCGGCGCGCTTCTCCGGCAGCGCCGCGGCAGGCATCTCCAGTGCCTGCGGTTCTCCAAACGAGATGGAAAAGTCCTCCGGCTCACCGCTGGATTCCTCGACTCGGGTGAACCATGCCTGCGTGGACGGTTCCGGCGCGGCGGCATTCGCCTGTTGGGCGTTATCCTCTCGCACGTTCTCCAGGCGAAGGGGGCAGCCGTCCCATCCGTGCTCTGTAGAGTTGTGGCAGTACTTGCAGCGTCCCTGACGGTCTCGGCCCTTTTGGTGACTTTTGTTTCCGCCTTTATTGGACTTGTTGCCGCGGCCTCGCCCGCGCACATCTTGCGCGCCTCCAGGGCTATCGCCTCTGGAATTTCCGGCGGAGGAGCCGCTGCTGCCGTTGTCTCCGGTCGGTTGGCTGCCATTGCCTTGGCGGTTGCGTCCGCCGCGTCCGCCACGTCCGCCTTGCTTACGGAAACTACGTGCACCCCCGTGCACGACCGTGTTGTGGGCACGGCCGTGGGCAGAAACCTTCCCCCTGATCTGCAGTGTATGGTACGCGGTCGCTCGGTGCGCGACATTTTCGAAGTCAAGATCCAACTCCGAGCCATCGGCTTGTCCGCACACCAGCGCGGCCTTAAGTTGGGCGTAGTGCTGGTCAGGAAGCGCGTTCAACAAGATATGCGTCTGGCGGGCTGGTACGACCTTGTCTCCAAGTGACTCGAGTTCGGAACTGATACGACGCAAGTCTTGGATTGCACGCGCCGGGTCGTAATCGTCCTCGGCAGTGACCGCAAGTGATCCTAACTCTCGCTGCAGTTCATGCATCCGATAGGTGCCCTTCTGGCGGTACTTCGCTTCTAGGGCAACGTATGCCGCACGTCCGTCCCCATGCTCACCAACGCGAGCGGGGCCGAAGGCTCGAACGACTTGGGAAGCAGTGCTCGAGAATCCATCGGCGCAGTCGGACGTAGCAAAGTTTAACCGTGTGTACAGTTTGCCGTTCTTACGTTTGAATTCCAGCGTCGTCCTGTCGAACGCAGCACGATCCGAATCCGCGCTGCTGGCCGCCGATGCCGGGGCGGTCTCCGTCCCAGCCATGATGTCGCCTAATCCTTGCTCATCCATGATGGAGTAGAACAGGCCACTCCAGCCGTGGAAATCTTCCGGCTTCCCGCTAAACGGGACGTATCCTTGTTTCAGGTAGTTCGTGGCGGACGCCATGCTGCTGCTGGGGTGTGACTCGATGTGAATTACCTACCAAACGCTAGGCTCATGACCTGACAACAGAATTGTAGTTGCTGTTTGTTGTGTAGTTGGCAGTGGTGGCGCAGTTTGGGTAGATACAACACAGAGTGATCATTAGATCCAAAACACAGGCGCCCAAGCTGTCTTCACCTGACGGTTACAGACTTGGAGACACGCCTTCACAATACTGCACAAAACCCATGCAGTAGAATAGAGTCAGTTCTTGCATACAAATCCCAACAAGACCAAGAGGCTTTGAAGGGGATACTAGCTCTGATACANNNNCTGACAACAGAATTGTAGTTGCTGTTTGTTGTGTAGTTGGCAGTGGTGGCGCAGTTTGGGTAGATACAACACAGAGTGATCATTAGATCCAAAACACAGGCGCCCAAGCTGTCTTCACCTGACGGTTACAGACTTGGAGACACGCCTTCACAATACTGCACAAAACCCATGCAGTAGAATAGAGTCAGTTCTTGCATACAAATCCCAACAAGACCAAGAGGCTTTGAAGGGGATGAAAAGCTCTGTTTTGGTTACAATGAGCTGTCTGAGCGTCTGAGCCACCCCTTACCCCCATCTCACTCGTGCATACCGTAAATGACACAATACAAGACACCTACACAATATAAG